TATCTAAATGGGTGCCAAGTTCTGTAGATAATCCTGATTATTTTTCATAAGAACATACATCGTTCTAAAATAAATTTAAAACACAATTTCTTTTTTTATTCTGCTACAACAAGTAACGGATTTTTCCTAACAAATAATTTTGAGGCCAAACAAGGACATAGACTAACTTTTTACCTGGTAAATTATATCTGTATAAGTCACTGAAGTTTGGGTGACACTGGTTGTAATTAGGTAATGAACGCCTAAGTGAAGGTTGGTCTTCAGTAATTATTATATACTTTCGTTTCTTGGTGGCGAAATCAAACTTACGACACTACGTTAATTGTAGACACAAATCGTTTTAATACTAAAATAATTTATTTTTTTACATTTTTCATATATTAGCTTATAATAAAATAATTTCTCTATCATTCATCTTCATTCGACATTGATTGACTTCACAAACATTTTTTCTACTCTAGCCCGAAATAATAAACGTGTAATATCTCTGACAATTTATCATTTGCCTGATGGAAATTTACATAGAGCTCTAGTTTATTTTATTCGAGCCATTCATAATATAATACACTGAAAATAATCCTTCTATCTGATCATATGTGCCTAAACAAAAATTATTTTGGTACCTTTGCATTTTTGCTAATTGAATTTACTAAATAACCCATACTAATATTATAAATGTGGAAGTGACTCTGTCTGTTATTTTTAAACTTAAACCGCAGTATCGATTTTCATAAAATTTGGTAAGAACATAGATTTTATCCTGGGAAGGGATATAGGCTACCTTTAATACTCGCCCCAGTCACCATGCGAACGAAGCTACGAGCAGAAATTAGTGTAGAGTTAATATGGTACAGTGGAAGTCTCGCATATTTTATATTAGCAGAACCCGTGGCTTCGCTCGCGCTAAAACTACAAAAGAAAACTCTATAAAGGTAGACCTTATACAAACTTTCATCCCCTATTTTACCCTCTTATAGGATACATTTCAAGCAATTATTTAATTATATTGAAGAGCATAAATACCAAGTTTCAAGTAATTCTAATCATAAATATTTTTTTGGGTTGTATTATTACGTGTTTTCCCGTGAGAATGAGATAATTTTCCACAGTAAAAAGTTGCCTATGTCACTCTCCAGCCCTCCTACCTTCTTCCGACCTACCTTCTACTAACTATCTCTACACAAAAAATTACGCCTATCCGTCACTCTGTTTCGACGGGAAAGAAGGACAAACAAACAAACACACTTTCACATTTATAATATTAGTATGCTATGGATACTACGAAGGTAATCACGCATTAACGTATGGTTAGTAGTAGCCGTATTCTTTGTACGCTTGCAATATCAAGATATTCATTCTTGGGTTACCGTGTTATCTGAGGCAAGAGAGTTAAGATAGAGAAGAGAAAGTGGAAGGAAATAATTCCGTCTTTTCAAGATTTCAGCTTCACTGAGTCTAGCCAATGTACATGGCATATTATAGTGCATAAGAGTAGGTCTGTGCAACACTTTCTTTTTCTGTAATTCTTATAGTAAAGTCGAACGACAATTCGATATAACAAATGAAAGATGAGATAGAGTGTTTGTTCTTCGAAGTGCAGCGGAAATCATGATCGATCGACGACTCACAATGCACGATCTCACAGAGAAGGAAATAGGCTGCCGGCGATCTCACTTGAAATTACATTTAACAGAATATAGAGGTTTTACCCTCTATATGTCGATACTCTGTGGATAGGTAGTACTTTCCTGTATAGTCGGTCCATTCATGCTTACATTAGCGAGGTTCTACCACACAAGTGAAGATGAAATTAGCTTCAACACCTGAATGTTCATTGCTGTACGCAAAAGACCGTTTGATGCAAAATACAAAGGGTCTAAAGAAATACAGTTTCATATTAACCTTTGACATTTTGGTTATTTTTTAAATTTATTTACACGTTTTTGTATTCCTTCCAACTGACTTTTGCAGTTGTCGAAATGTTCTCGCACTTCGTGTTCGCAAACATTCTCGCTAAAATACAACTATATCTTGGTCATTTTTACACAAGACTGAAATACTAATAAAATAGCTGTTGAAATTTTTTTACATAATCTTTGCAAAACTTACATGCACTGCTTAATTGAAGTTTGATTACTAACAAAAATCATTTTTACAAACTTTTACATTCATAACATCAGCAGGATAAAATGACAAATTCATGTAAGAGTCATCGGGCAAATTCTAGCGATTAAATCAAATGGGGTGGTCAAAGAGAAATGGGAAACATAACGGCGAATACCAAAATAGCTTCGCCATTGTCCGATAAAGGGAATGCCACAAAGCCACTACAGATCAATAGGTTGTGGAACAGAGTCTAATAGAAATGGCATGTGCCGAAAATGTTTGGCGGAAGTTATTCACTAGCCAAGTTAAGCACAAAGGAGTTACCTTAACGGGTAGTTAAGTTAATATATGAGATTTTACGGGTAATATGAAGTGTTTTTACGCTTAATATAACTTAAAATAATTAGGGACTGCATTTATTTATTTTTTTTATAATCTTAAACAGGATGCAAGAGTGTAACTGTTTATAATCATAATCTCAGCAAAATAAATAAAGAACTCAGAGAAAAGCATGGATAATATTGTCTGTGTGTTACATACTCATTAACAATAAAAACATACGTGTTTTGCTACTTTAAAACAGGACTCGGAAACTCGTTAAATTATTAGCGATGAATTAACCATTACATTACCGAAATAAACCGTCCTCTTAAACCGGTTCGGAGCCCTGCTTTAAAGAAAACAAGCTAAACAAATATAAGCCTGTTTTCTAAATTTTGAAAAAAAAGAGAATTTTTAATGTCTTTGTTTTGTTCCAAATATTTAGATATAACATACAATATTTAAGTTGAGATTTCTCAAAGTTACAAGATCAGAATATTAAATCGTTATTCTGTAAAATAGAGTTTGTGAACTTATCCCCCTCGATACAACGTATAGCCTAAACCACTAGGTCGAAAGGCCTGAAATTTTGCATAAAAGTTCCTAATAAAATAAGGTAAGACCTTGGTCAGTAATGTTTAAAATTTCTGTTTTTTAACTTAGTAGTTTAAATGTATGGAAGGTCGTAATTTTTAAAGTAACAAAAATAGAAATTATTGTTTTATTCTCTCTTTATGTTATCAATAAAAAATGTCATGGCTTTCTCTGCTTGTACTTAATACAGATTAATATATTAAGTAAAATGATAAATTAGTTATGAGTTTAGATAAACTACTTACTAGTCCTTTGATCACATGTATTTAGTACTGCTTTTACCTACGGCGTAAGTCCTCATAGTACTATCTATGTCCTTGTTTATCACAAAGGTAACAAACAGACAGACAGACAGACAGTGTAACTTTTGTATGGAGTACATAGTATATCCAGTTATGAAATTTTAATCATAGTAAATACTAGGCAATGTGAAATGCGACATGTGTTCTGTATAATAATAACCATTAGAGAGAATTAGTTATAATATAATTTACGTACCGAATTAATTTTGTAGGGTTATTGTTTAGCGTTATATTAGCACTATATTAATATACATTATTCTAGAAATGTTTAAATGCGTTTGAGACCTAATTTATTAAATTAAATATTATTTCCATTATATAGCCTTCCCTAAAATTGTGTGTAATCTACGAATATCTATGTATAAAAAGTAACAACGTACCTTTTTCTCTTCTGTTTTTTTATTTAGTAGCTATTGAAGAGCTTTAGTATTATCAATAAATAAATTTGGACACAGTTTTTTTCATATATATATATGTAGGTAAATACAGGTCGTAACTATTCATAGAATAGATATATGTTTTTCTTTATTTTTAATGAATACATATAATAAAAATTAATATATCTAGTTGAATTTCGATCATTAGGGAAACATTAGTATAAATAAAAAAAATGCTGTTTGTTGGTTAGCGCATTTCATAGGAACGTTTGGATCTTCTGGCTAAAAATATTTGTAATCGAATACGGTTTTTAAGGGTGAGAAATTGAATTTAGAACAATTGCGTTACACGGCAATGTCTGCTAGTCTGTTTAGTAAAAAAACTTAAAAGTGAGTTATCAAAAACTGAAACACCCAACCCAAAACAACTTATACTAGACGACCACGACCACGAATATGGTAGCAGTACAATATGCAAGCAGTTAAGATGTATAAAAATGTATAACGGTCATGATCGCGTGGGTGGTGTTCAATATAACATAATGTATGTAGGGTCGCTGTGACTACGGTCGTGTGCGGGTAGGGTTAACCACTGGGTTTAGAAACATGAAATGAACAAGAAGTGATAGTTATATAACGAATTAAAGCATTAAGATATTTTTTTTGTAGCAAAGGGTTAAATAGGAAATGAAAACATGGAAGTTGGTACTTAGATTTTTGTTTATATGTACATGTAAAGAAAATTGTTACATCGTTATTTGAAATATCATCCTTTAGCGATGTGAAATAGCTGTGTATGTATGCACTAGCCTTTTCCTGCGGTTCCGCTCGTGTTTTCATTTATGTATGTATAAATTACTAGCGACTCACCCCGGCTTCGCTCGGGTTCGTTCTAGCTTGATTCCCCACATAAAATTTCATCCCCATTTTTACCCCCTTAAGGAATGATTTCCGGGATAAATATAGTATCCTATGTCCTTCCCAGAGTCTCAAACTATCTTTTTCCAAATTTCATCTAAATCGGTTCAGAAGATCCAGAAATTAACCCCTACAACGTCACAAACTCACAAACATTACCTCTTTATAATATTAATATAGATAATACCTATTAGTAGGATGATTATCACACTGTCACTCTATTAATAAGTTTTTACAATATTTAAAAGTTTATGTGAAATACATATACAGGCTTACATCTCATCACAACTACTTGCAATGCCTATACATTATTACAATATATAAGTTGTACCAGATATTTGTTACTCGTAGTCAACACAAACAATCTTTCTTTCTTACTTACCGCCACATGGCTTTCAGTTGATCACACGTGGGTTCATCCTGTTTGATATCCCGATCCCGGACTCTTCCAGGGCGAGGGGACAGGATAGGTTCCTGGTCTATACGTTGCGCGAGAGCACACGCACATACCCACAGAACCAGATACCAAGAGCGCCACAAAGACCACATTCTGTAAAAAAATATTTTCAATATGTAATTTTTGCCATTTTAATTATTTTATAAAACTTAGGGATAGGATATCTACATCTACTTACCATACAATAGTCATATAATAAAAATATAAAGTCAGATTAGCCTAAAAACTACTTTTGGACTAAAAAGTACGTGAGAAGTGAATTTTTTAATGTATTTTAATTTAATTAATCGTAAATTATAATGTTATTAGAGCATAAGTATAAAATATAGATAATTGTTGTTCAACTCTAACTATCGTTTATCAAGTGATTAAAAACAATATAAAACTATTATATATACTACGAATATATACGATAGATATAGAGATATACGTTCTAACGTATATTTTTATTTCATAAAATAGCATTTTCATCTTGTACTTAGTACACAAGTAAGTATTAAAAATTTATTGTATCATGTTGGAATCTTGGCATATCTTTGTATTAATATGTGTAAACAATTCAAGAAAACTGCTTCAAGTATGCCTTCAAATTATCTCCAGAAATGTTAAAATGCAATTAATGTCTCATACTACACCATTTAGAATTCGGGAAAATTACGTCTACAACTTGAATATACGAGTATCATGTTCTGTAACTTGATAGTTCCTAGAGTGAGCTTAAATATCTTCCATATTCCAATTTATATAAAGATTTATAATGTTATGTATATAAAGAACTTTGTTAGTATATGTATATGTGTGCAGATCCAGAGGTCCTGGTTCGAATCCCTTGTCGGGCTAAGTACATTCATTGGTTTGTTTTTATCACAAAATTGTTAGTAACAGCCTGGAGATGTAAAGTTTGAGGTGTTTACCCACGTGTCCCACTCGATCGCAAAAATCCCTGATCTCTGACTAGTCGTATCGTGTTTTCATCCAATCAGGATTTGAGCAAAAGTGATAAAGAGTGTTCTTATATGTCTTTAATATTTCTTGAGTTTGTTTAATTCTAAATTACCTTCTAATATGATATAAACTCTTATTTTATGTAAGTATTAGCGACTGACCCCGCTCCGTCCGGGTTCATACCTAGTTACGAGTATCTTTTAACGTATAGGTTTCTCAGAGATGAGATATTTTCTTCTGTCCTATATTTTGACCCGGATAACAGGCTATCATCATACCTTTCATCAAAATCTGTCCAGTGGTTTTCTCGTGATGCGGTCACAGACAGACAGACGAAAGTTCTAAAAACTACAGATTCGGCCTCTGTACCGATAATAATGACTATTTCAATAAGATTTTCCAAAAAATATAAACGCACAGATTCGACTCAGTCAGAATTTTATTATGTCTATAGATTGTTTAATGTATGGAAATGTTTCAAAGTCAAGCTAATTGTGCGTAAAAATGCGAAGAGGGGTACGAATGAGAAAAGTACGTAAGACGTGATTAAATTGCTTTCGTGGAACTTGATGTGAAATCTTTTCTAATCGGAAGATCAATTCAGTATATGCACGTCCTTTATTGTGAGTATACGTTCTTCGAAGCACGTGTAGGCTTATATAAGCTTTTCTATCGTATGTGTTGGAAACTCGAATTTAGACTATCTGCTGATATATGATTAAAGGTTGTGTTTGGTGAGGCTTACATTTAATATTAACGGCTAAATTTTGCACGTCGTTCCACGCGTGGTAATGACATATATAAAAGTGTTCATCTATAATATGAGCTATCTTTATTCAAAATATCAGTCAAAGTCATTGAGTTGTTACAGCGCGAAGAAATAAAAATGATACATACAGACAGTCGTATCTATCAACTCAAACATTGCTCGTATCCATATCCGACTTTCAGATGTGACTCAACTCGGGCCAATTCTGTGGTGCGGTTACAATTGATATGCACTTTTAGGACCTGACTCAAATCCATTCGAATATCTAATACAGACGCTTGTTGCTTTTATACCTACACGTACAGATTAGTTGTAGAGCTGACTACGTGGTTTTGTGAGAGATACCAAGAGAGATATTTCAATTAAATATTTCAAAGCGTATGAAAAAAAAAGATAATATTCTATAAAAAGTTCACTAATATACTTATCTTTTTCATTTATAAATCATCTCCCTACCGCCTAATAGTTTTACAAAAATGTCATATTTTTTGATATATCTTAAATAAATCCAAAATCGTCTTATTTTAAAACAAGCACCTATATATTTTACCTTCTCATACATTATCATAAATACAATACAGTGACAGTACTATTAATAGATTTTGCAATCGGAGACTTCAGATGCTTATCCAGCTAGACCGTTTCGGCAATTATTTTCTAACAATCTTGTAAGAATAGTGGCATGTCTGTATATTATTTAGATGACAAAAAAATATCACTAAGTACAATTATTCAATGTTTTTTCTAATTTTACATATTAAACAAAAATGAATCTAGTATTATATGAAAAAACATAGAGACTTTAAAAAATATTTAAAATATGTATGTAGGAGAGTGTGAACGCGCGTTACATATATCACCAGCTATAGTTGTAAATGATATAGGAAACTCTATAACCCCTTTTAAATAATGAATGTGGTGTCAGGTCCGATCGTGTGTAGTGAACAACGGATTCATTTCAATTTGATTTAAAATAGATCCGATCCGTGGTCCAAATCCGGTGGTCTCTAGTAAACTTTAGAGTTACTCTCCACAAACATAAGTTATTTAAATATGTATATATTTTTTTATAGGTATCTATCTTTTTTAAATTAGTACAAATATGATTTTAATTAATATTATCCGTTTTAGTATACATAAATGAAGTGTAATGTTAAAGCTAGGTAAAGCACATTAAAATAATCTTATTCCAAAAAATGTCTTTATATACACACACTGACGACGCGACGCTATTCTACATACGATATCCCACTAGATTTCAATAAAGCCCTGACATCCTCGATAATCTCGTTCCGTTAACAACTTATTGGACGTGTTAGCAAGTTTCAACATGTCCATTGTGAACATGTTTATCTGACGTAATGGGAGCGGATATTTGTCTCAACAAGTATCTTTATGCGTAAACATACGAATACTAGCGAATTACCGTTGTTTCATTAGGATATGTCCCTAGGTACCTAGGATAGTCGTAGCATTTATGGCATAGTCATATATACTATAAAACATATTATAAATGTTAAAGTTTGTGAGTATGGATGTATGGATGTTTGTTACTCTTTCACGCCAGAACGGCTGAACGGACCTGGATAAAAGGCATAGAGATAGATTATAATCTGGAAAAACATGTAGGCTACTTTTTATGCCGGGAAAAAGTACGGTTCCCGTGGGATAGGTTTGTTTTTGTTTTCCTAGAGGCAAACCCGAGCGAAATGAGGGTGAGCCGCTAGTATAGATATAAATATCAGTAGAGGTTCCAATAAAATAAAACATAGATACTTCAAATAAAATTTCATACAAAAAGGCTTACGCGCTGCGGGTATAGATATCTCTGCCGAAGCCTTCTATATTTCAATGAAACCCACGCCTTTCAGTAGGTTGCACTACACGTGCACATTCTTGTCTTTTTTTCGAAGAACCTCAAATCGAAAGTGTGAGCTTTTTCATACAATACTCGGCACAGCGCCAAAATTGAACGCGGGTTTTTCGAACTGTATGGAACTACATGATATGGGAAAATGATCATAGCTATATATTTTAGATTTGGAAAAAAATAATCTAACGAATAAAAACACGAATCTAACGACTGGTAAATCGGTTCGGTTATTAATATTAAATAAATAGCTGTTAATATAAATGTATATATATTTTGGTTTTCAGATTCTTTTTCATCGGCTTTTTGTATTAATTTTCATTTATATAAAGAAAAACGTTGTAGAACAAAAAAAATGTTATTTCAATATCAATTTAGAATACAAAAGACTTTGTCAAACAACTTCAATCTGCAGTAACAGAATTATAAAAGTTGAATTCTGTATAAATATTTTCATTAAAACTTAGCAAAGCTTAGTTACTTAGCTCGCGAGTTCGTAATTAATATTACTAAAACAAAATTTCAAATTGTTTCTGAAAGGATGGAAATTACTTAATCTTATTTTAGTGCTTTTTTCTTTGATGGGTATACATTTTTGATATTATAGCATAGAAAGCCAGCTTAGCTTTTGGCACCACTAGCATATGTCGGGAAGGTAGTCCCTAGACTTCCCATACTCTATAGAGGGGTATATCAAAGTCAATATTTCTTTTCGACCTGAAAATATCTTCTTTGATCTGAATCTTTCTAAAAAGATTTTATAATATACAATTTTTTGTAATTACATTAATGGTAGTAATAAAATAATCTTAAAAACTAGTACTTATAATTAAAAAAAAGTACGTTCACACTGTGTAGACCAAAATAAAAGCAAGCCAAATTAATACATATTTTAAATCTATATATAAATAGACAAACAAAAAACAGTTCAGTCGGTTTTTCTCCTCTGTTTGTCAACCGATTTTGTTTTTTTTTGTGTAGTGACAATTTACTTGTCAAGTTAATCTTTTAATTGACATTTTAAATAAAACTTTTCAAATCTTTTTGCGGATTTATTTTGATTTTTGTTTCCCGACGTTTCGAATGTTTTACTGCAATCTTGGTCACGGGAGAGACTAAGGTTTTAAACGTCTTAATGGTCATATTACCATTACCATTAAAATATTCATTTGAAATATCCAATTTTAAATGTAAACCAAAGATTATATGACTTATTTATAACTTTAAGTGTAAGGTATAATATAATGTATGACTTATATTTGAATCGACATCCATTCAACTTTGCAGTCTTATTCAATAGCGATGAAGACTATATGCGACCGGATATTTCCGGGTGCCAGCCGGAAATTGTCTCACGACGAGACCCGGCCAGCCGAGGCCTGATAAGCTTGTATAGATGAAAAATAGCCTCTATTTTAAAATTTGAAGCGTTTCCTTTTTTCACTCATATCTTAAAACTAAACTGTTGATAAATAACAAGAAAAAAGGTCATATAAATAATTATCATC